GGACGCGTAATGAAAGTCTACCCTGGCAGCGATGAGTCACGAGGGTTGCTGAGTTGAAAACTAAGAAGGAGACATTGCTGAGAACCTTCAACATCCTCTGCCCTCTACCCATTAATTGAATCCATCAACCCGGGCAGACTGTTCAGGCATCGTTGCTGCAGGGTGTGGCTCGAAGGGGGTGCGAATAGCACCGGCCCTCACTTCTGATCTCGCCACCGATTACGACACGCGCACAATTTTTTTTTTTATTTATTTTGGTACAAACAGTCATTACAATTATAATTACAAATATATATATATATATATATATATATATATAGATAGTTGATAGACAACGAGTACCGAAAAGTATTTAGTAGTATTATATTAATAAGTAGTGTTGACATAATGAGCCTAGATATTAAGGTTAGAATTTTTTTTTTTTACATTTTATATTTTACTATAAACAGACGATACAGTAAATATTCTACCATTTTTTGTATTTCATATTTAAATAATTACATCTAATCTACAGTCCATAACAAAAACCTTTAATTTAAAAGTCCTTAGTTTAGGACCCTACAGATATCCCTTAACACTTAGGGGTATAAATAGATAACAACCTATTCTCATACCTATTGTATATAAAATTTCATCAAAAGCGGTTAAGCTGTTTCGGAGATGTATAGCAATTAACACTGAGACGAGAATTTTATGTACATGTATATAAAATATTTTCAATATATGTATTAATGAATATGTTTATTTATGATGTTTTCTATCTAAATATATATAACTCAAAGGTGACTGACATAGTGATCTATCTATGCACAGCCCAAACCAATGGACAGATCGGACTGAAATTTGGTTGAAATAAAAACGCTATTAAAAAATAGGGGTTAATGGTAGAAGGGTGAAAATTTTGAAATACATGTATTTCTTAATTTGGACTACGTTTATCACTTAGGGGTAGAAAAAATATATAACAACCTATTCTCATCCCTCATAGTGTAAGTCTGTTCGCTCAAATAAATTAAAAAAAAAATTATTAGATCATTCAATGACCATTACTAATTGTTATTATAATATACTGATTTGATATGAAACGGATACTTGGTGTGATGCATACATATCATTAATAGGTACCTAAATCCAGTTATCAGTTAATACTTATTACACTATCAGATTGAGACACTGTTTACACTAATTATAAAGATATTGTTGTGTCCTACAATTATCTGTGGAATTAAAACCATTGCGATGTTATCTTGGGCATTTTTGGTGAGAGAGCGACTAAGGGTGAATAGCGCTCACGAGTAGACGATTCCGTATATTTTTACTATTTAATAATATTATAATATTTGACAGCCTCGGTGGTCTAGTGGTTTAGCACACCGCTTTACTATCCGATGGTCGTGGGTTCGATTCCTCGCACGGTACAAACATTTGTATTCATGAGTATGATTGTTTGTATCGGTCTGGGTGTTTTCTATGTATAATATGTATTTATTTACAAATCAAAATGTATCTATGTATTTATATCAGTTGTTTAATACCCATAACAGAGCGTCTGCTTAGCTTGGTACTAGATGGCGTTGTGTGAATTTTCCTGAAATATTATTATTATTATTTAATAATATTGTGCAACTTAGACTTTTAAATAAATAAATAAAAAAAATGCTATCTACTGAAAGTGCCGTCAAAATCAAACGTTTCTAAGATTAGCAAGAATAAACGGTCAGACAGACAAAAATATTTTATATTAGTTTCTTTTTATGTACAACATATACTCTTTACTGAGATACAAACAGACAATCCAATTATATTTATTAGTATGTATTAGGTTTGTGGATAATACGGTTTATTAAACATCATAGTGCTGTATTTCTTCAGTTTAGTTTTTATTCTCTTATAACGATACAATTTTGCTCTGTTCCTCTATTTGCCTCTCACGGCATCTTCGTGGCAAAACTAGGCCTATAATAATAATAATCTCAGGACAATTCACTCAGCTCCATCTAGACCCAAGTTAAGTTAGCTAAAGCTTATGCTATGGGTACTAGATAACTGATACATATACATTTTTTTTGTAAATACATACATACATAACATACATAGAAAACACCCAAACCGATACAAACAATCATACTCATTAATACATGTTTGTGCCGTGCGAGGAATCGAATCCGCGACCATCGGTCGTAAAGCGGTTTGCTAGACCGCTAGACCACCGAGGTCGTCTATGCACGACAAAAATCTGCAGATTCTGCCAAACTGAAGAGGAAACGCCACTACACATCCTATGTGGTTGTAGCCTACTCACGCATAAACGAAATACCTCTTTAGGAAAGTTCACACTCTTTCCTGAGGAGGTAAAAACCATCGCTCCTAAGAATATCCTTCAATTCTTGTCCCTGACGGGTCTAGGTAGCGAATTTTGAAAAAGGCGAGCACAATAGATCTGTGTAGGTCGCAGTGCTACAGGTGCTACAAACATCTGACAATAGTCCAAACTACCCAATAAAAAAAAAGTACTAGTGACACATTGCATTCTTACGTTGTGATGACACAGAGAAGCAAGCCACTTGGTTACAACCCAATCAGTTTTGCGGCAAAACAAGAAATCATATCGTTATCTGCATTTATAATCTATACGTAATTTAGTGAAATCATTTTTTATACGAGTCATCAACAATGACGACTGCATTTTCCTTCTTCTATACATATAAAAACATTAGTGATTGCTGTCCGTACATAGATAGATTTTTTCGGACTACTCTAATGCTGTTGGCCGCAGCTGGCCTTTACAGCTTCACCGGACGATAGGGGGCGAGTGCAGATGGCACTCCGAGCCCGCGGAAGGACTTGGAGCGGCTCGAAGGCCAACTCCCGCCTGACGGATACGATTTTAGTCTGAGGGCACCACTACAAGTTCGAACCTCGGCTCAGGCCGTCGTAATATCGATCCCCGTTTGAATTGGACGGGGGATCGATCGGAGGGGATGAACAATGACAAAAACTTATTGGATGACATTATTAACCTATTAATAACCGAAAGAATAGAATAGAACATTCAAATAAATTTAAATTTAAGTACTTCTGAATAATCATACTTATTTATTTATTTATTCTACTCCAAATTCGGAAATCTCATTCTTTTTATGATGAGGCATCATAAGAAGAACGAGCAAGAAACTTGCGTGTAGCACTTTTAAATAATTGTTGTAACTACATTTTTACGTTGAAATATGTGAATGCAAACTACCTATTAGTACTAATTCATTAAAGTTAAAATATTAACCATACAATCAACTTGTTTAATACCTTACCTTTTACCAAAGATTGTAAGAGTTTTTATGTTTATCTGTTTTGTCTGGTCGTTTGTGTACGTTAATCTTAAAAATGGTTTAATTATTTGAGGTGCCTGTTTTTCTTATGTATTACTATTCATCCAACCTGGCTTCGCACGGGTGCACATATATTATACATATAAACCTTCCTCTTGAATCACTATCTATTAAAAAACCGTTTCAAATTCCGTTGCGTAGTTATAAACATTTAAGCATACATAGGGACAGACAGCGACAGCGACTTTGTTTTATATAATGTAATGTTTATGGTAAGCTTATTGTTATTAGTGTTATATTCCAATAGGTTTATAAACAACGAAGTTATTATTATTCTCAAGGCGGGTATAAAGTCACGGCTTGAGTTATTTAATACATATATATGTAGATAAAAGGATCTGTGGATAAAATATAAACAAGATGATACATTGTGGTGAATGATATTCAATAGGACGAGATAGGTATATAAAATTATTATTTGCGTTAAGGGACACTGTTTGGGAAACTACTCTGCTACCAAAATGTTAGGGCAACGTCAGTCATTTACCTTTATGGTTCTGCGGATTTCTTGGGCTTCAGGGTCTCGAAAGTATCTTCGCTAGCTTTCCAGTTTCACAACAGGCCTCACAGTAGGTTAACACAGTTCTAATTTATTTTAATTCACAACACAATGCGCGCCCGCGTCAATGCCGCTGTACGGTCCGTTTGTTACTAGTTAGGGAGGGGAAGGGAACGCGCGGGAACAGAAAACTAACGGACTCTAATATAATATAATATCTGTGCTTACGATGATACCGGGTAGATTTTGAACAGACACACATATGACAAACTGAAGAGAGCAGAGGAAACGCCAAACACATCCTATGTAGTCGTAGCCCGCTCATGCATAAATGTAATATCTCCTTTGGAAAGCTTACTTTCTTTTCTGAGGAGATAAAAACCATCGCTCCTAAGAATATCCTTCAAATCTTGTGACCCTGACGGGTCTAGGTAGCGAACTCTGAAAAAGGGCAATAGATCTATGCAGGTCTCAGTGTTACAGGTTCAAGCACCTGAAAATAGCCCAAACAACCCAGTAAAAAAATTTATAATAATAATCTTAGGACAATTCTCACAGCGCCATCTAGAGGTTAAGCTAGCTAAAGCTTGTATTATGAGTACTAGATAACTGATATATATAAATAGATTTTTTTTTAAATACATAGATATTATACATAGAAAACACCCAGACCGATACAAACAATCATACTCATGAATACAAATGTTGTGCCGTGCGAGGAATCGAACCCGCGACCATCAGTCGTAAAGCAGTGTGCTAGACCGCTAGACCACCGAGGTCGTCAGGTTAAATGCCATCAAATTTGTTGTTCCAGGTATGCCACAGCGTAAGTTTTTTTTGTTATGTATGCAGTTTATAACCTACATACATATTGCAGTCATTCAATTAACCTGAATATAAAAATACCTTGATTATATCTTTACTAATACAATATAACATGTAAACATATTATTTTTGTTCTCTTATCTACCAGGATAATTGTTATCATGACTCATTGCTAAATCATTGTTGCCTAATTAGACAGTCTTAGTGATTACATATTTTGTTTTCTATATATAAAGAGTAGCGCTCACCAAATTATTTATCAGTGATAGACAGTGTCAATCAGCGCAAACATGATTGCAATAATTCTGCTAGTAATCTTCATCAGCTCTCTGTATCTTTACGGTACGAGGAACCACGACTACTGGAAGAAGAGAGGGGTGAAGCATGAGAAACCAATTCCCCTATTCGGCAACGACACCAAGCGCCATCTCCTACAGAAGAACGTTACTCAGATGGCGGTGGACACATATTGGAAGTTTCCAGAAGAACGCTTCGTTGGCTACTACCGAGGAAGCATACCTGAACTAGTGGTGAGAGATCCAGACCTCATAAAAAGTATTATAATAACTGATTTCAATAACTTCTACTCCCGCGGCCTCTCTCCTGAACATAAAGTTATTGAACCTTTACTGCGTAATTTGTTCTTCGCGGATGGAGATCTGTGGAGGCTGCTACGCCAGCGGATGAGTCCGGCGTTTACGAGTGGTAAGTTAAAAGCCATGTTTCCACTTATCGTCGACCGCGCTGAAAAGTTGCAAGCGAGAGCGCTTGCAGCCGCTGCATCTGGAACTCCTATAGATGCACGAGATCTCATGGCACGATACACAACCGATTTCATTGGTGCCTGTGGCTTCGGACTCGATGCAGATTCACTGAACGATGACAATTCTAGAGTAAGAAAACTGGGCGCTAAAATTTTCAATTTAACTCTATCACGTGCATTTACAGTAATACTAAAAACACTGTTTCCTGATGTGTTCAAGCACCTTAAATTTCTCGGTCAAGATCTGGAAGATGATGTAGTAAGTTTGGTAAATGCCATACAAAAGCAAAGAAATTATGAACCATCAGGCCGTAATGACTTCATAGATATGCTATTAGAATTAAAACAAAAAGGCAAAATTGTAGTAGAATCTCTGGAACGAGTGAAGCCAGATGGCAGCCCGGAGATAGCAGAACTCGAAATGGATAACTACTTGCTAGCAGCTCAGGCCTTTATATTCTTCGCAGCTGGTTTCGAAACTTCATCATCGGCTACCAGCTTTACACTACACCAACTGGCTTACAATCCTAGCGTTCAAAAGAAAGTACAAGAAAATATAGATGCAGTATTAAATAAATATGACAATAAACTAAGCTATGATGCAATAAAAGAAATGACATACTTACAGTGGAGTTTCCAGGAGGGAATGAGAATGTTTCCATCATCAGGATTTCTGATGAGAAGGTGCGTGAAGAAATACACGATACCTGGTACTGATATAACAATTGATGAAGGTGTTAAGGTGACTATTCCGATACAGGCCTTGCACAATGATCCTAAATATTTTGATAATCCAACACAATTCAGACCAGAGAGGTTCTCACCCGAGGAAGTAAGCAAGAGGCACAAATTTGTTTATTTGCCGTTTGGAGATGGACCCCGCTCCTGTATTGGTATGTATTAACTTTAAATAAATTTTATTTATCGTTATTTAAATTTCTTATTACTAAACTTTGATTAATCTTATTAATATTATAATATTATTAATGCGAAAGTGTGTGAGAGTTTTTGCATAAAAGAATAACAAACACCCATCTATACATGGGTGTTTGTTATTCTTTTATGCAAAAACTACTGAACGGATTTTCATTAAAGTTTACAGTAATATAGAATAACATATCTTATATATAAAATTCTCGTGTCACAGTTTTCGTTCCCATACTCCTCCGAAACGGCTTGACCGATTCTCATGAAATTTTGTGAGCGTATTGAGTAGGTCTGAGAATCGGCCAACATCTATTTTTCATTCCCCTAAATGTTAGGGGTAGTCCACCCCTAAATTTTTTTTTTAGTTTAAGGCAAAACAACGTTTGCCGGGACAGCTAGTAGTCTATAAATTTCACACTAGTGAAACTGTGGGTACAGTTAGTAATAGTATAAATATTTTATTTAATTATTCATATTAACAATCGACAAATTGCCAATTACTATTCATCATCACCATCATCACAGCCTGGAAGACGTCCACGGCTGAACAAAGGCAATTACTATTAAATTATTAACTGTCAATTTATCCATAGTAATATTATAATCAAACTCTAAGTACGAGTATCTATCTGTTTGTTACTTTTTTACATGGAATCACACTTTACTGATACTCTATATGTAGCTTATATATTAAGTCCTGTACTAAAATGCATTCGTGGACATTACAGGAGGTCGTCTGGGCCAGATGCAGTCTGTGGCGGGCCTGGCCGCGGTTCTAGCTCGGTTCACTGTTGAACCGGCTTCAGAATCCAAGAAGGAGCTGACATCAGACCCCAAGTCCAGCATCGTGCAGAACATCATTGGCGGTATACCACTTATATTCCGTGAAAGAAAGGACAAAACGTGTTAATTGACATTCTTATTAAATAATTCATCATAGCGTAGGTTCTAGATAAATATAATTATGATAAATATACATTTATTGTTAGAAGATTACAGAAATCTCGTTGAAGACTAATTTATCACGGATTATGATTTAAGTGTATATAAATATTGTAAATAGTGTTAAATTAATATTTTATCATTTATAATAAAAGTAATTAAAAATTTACAATACATTTTATTGGTATATACCTGGTTTTACTATATAGGTTTATCTATACATATAAATAATTCAATTTTATTTAAAGATTTTTTTACGAGTGCCTTTTCATATAGTAACTGAAAATCAGAACTGTTCTGTTCTATTTACAGTTACTTTTTTATATATTTTGCTTTTTAAAACTATACTGTCTTATTATATGTGTATGTTGATGTAACCAAAGCAAATGTCTATAACATCAACTATAAATATATTAAAATACACTTTTTTATTTTAAACCTTCTTCATAATATATACATATAAATAAAATTGGTGTTGTGAAGTCAAAGCGCCTACTTATTTTATTTACGCAAATACTACACTTTTGCGATTTGTGCTCATACAATTTTGTAGTTTTTATTAAGTTAAAAATATAGAAGTCGTACAAGTTACTCTGCGTCTTTAATTTCATTATTCCCGAACATCCGCTGTGAGTACTCCAGAACCTGGTCCTATATCGAAGCCGGATGTGAATTAAATGCGGATCAGTTATTATTTTGTGGAATTAAATCGAAATACAAGAAATAAAAGAGAAATTAATTGGATGCAAGTTGACCGGCAGAACTACCTACCATTGGATGTGAATCGAGTGTAATTTATAGTGGTGTTAAGTATAAATTACTATATAATAAACTTATCCCAACACTCTACAGGTAATATTATAAGTAAATAAAAAACTTTATTAAGGTTAGTAAACGATAATTACGTTATTTATCTGTATCACATTATTTTAACTTCATTGGTTTCCTACCTACTGCATTGTGAATAATATTAGTACTTTTTCATAATTTGCTAAAATTAACTACAAATCTACTTAATTAAGTATAGTAAGCACTAATGCTACATTGTTTGAGTTAATTATCAAAATATATGCCTCATAATTGCAAATTTCAATAGTTATTCACGTCAGTTGTATGTAAGTAAAGTAGGTATAACTAATTCTTTTGTGTTAAATGTTACTTTGGTGTTTGGTGTTTAATTTTATTGTCAGGTTCTATATTATATTACAATTTAGGTACTTAAGGAATCTGTACATTTATGTTAAACAAATAATTTGCCGTATGTACGACAGCAAGTTAAGAAACAATCTAGTATTTTCTCTATTAATGTCAATTTGAATCGGTACTTATGCTTGTGCATATGTACCATACAACATTTACAGTACATTTACTAGATTTATATAATATACATATAAATATATTTCTTTATCGAATTAACATATTGTTAGCTTAATATTTTGTATTCATACCTATTGATCGTAGATCTTTATTTCATTAATTAGAATTAATTTTTTAATTGTATAAATTCCAGGTCGACAACACTCGAATCCCATAATGACCGAAGAAAAGGAGTTAATAAAAAAGCGAGGCAGTTTTAAAGGCCGTTTAACTGCATTTATTAATTATTTGCATACACTAACTGATGAACCGTTAAGTCTCTCGGATGCCAGAGAATTACAATTACGTATGGGTAAAATTGAGTCGTTGTATGAACAGTATGATCAGGTACAGTTGCGCCTTGAATGTATAGTTGATAATAGTGAAGAGCAATTTAAAGAGCGCTCCGACTTTGAATCACAATATTTCAAGGCAATCGCGAAAGCCCAAGGTTTACAAAATGTTAATGTTGAGACTATGAGCAATATGGGTAGTGATGGAGGTACTCGAGCGAGCAATAATCATAAGCTGGTGCGTCTTCCGACCATCCAGCTACCGCGATTCAGTGGTTCATACGATGATTATTTGGAATTTAGAGACACCTTTACTAGCCTTATACACAACAATGATGAAATAGACGAAGTGAATAAATTTCACTATTTGCGTGCATCGTTAGAGGGTTCTGCTGCCGTGGTAATTCAATCAGTTGAGTTTTCATCTAGTAATTATGCTGTTGCGTGGAAACTTTTGTGCGATAGATTTGACAACAAACGTCTGTTGATACAAAATCATGTGTCTTCTTTGTTCAATGTGGAAGCAATAACAAAGGAGTCATCAGCAAATTTAAAGCGGTTAATTGATCAGGTAAATAAAAACTTGCGGGCACTTGAATCATTAGGTGAACCTGTCAAACATTGGGATACCCTTTTAATCCATATTATTACCCATAAATTAGATAGTAAAACTTATAGAGAGTGGGAGGAATTTAAGGGGCATTCACATAAATATACTTCAATTACCTTTGACACCTTTCTAGAATTTATCCGAAATCGTGCAGATTTGATTGAAACATTAGAGCTTTCACGTGTCAATCAGGGCAATTTAAATCATAAATCGACTATGAAATTAAAATCTATGGTTTCAGTTCATGGCAGTCATCCACATCAGAATTCCAATACAGCAGAATCACATAATCGAATCTGCCCTAAGTGTAAGGGTGACCATAGTCTAACCGGTTGCCCCCAGTTTCTTGCGTTGAGCGTTGAAGCGCGCCTAAAGTTACTACCCAGTTTTAAGGTATGTTTCAATTGTTTTCGTGTAGGTCATTTTGCTAATCTATGCAAAAGGCCAGGTTGCAAAATATGCAAGCGTCGACACAACACTCTGATTCATGCAGCCAATGATCATCATATTCGTAATGAAAATAGAGTCGTATCTGAAACTACACCTTTAGCGTCGTCTTCAACGACTGCTGCTTCTGACAATGTAACTTTAGCAGCAAATATGTCTAGTTATAATAAAATTCAATGTGATGTATTATTATCTACTGCGTTGGTAAAATTATATGACAAGAATAATCACGAACATATAGTACGTGCAATATTAGACAGTGGTAGTACATCAAGTCTAATGACTGAGAGATTGTGTCGACAATTAAATTTGGAAACCTGTCAGGTAGATAAGTCAATCATGAGTGTAAATAACGCAACTTTACGCGTAGGCAAAACTTGTCATGTGCACATGACGTCGTTGAATAACAGTTTCTCTTCTGAGCTTCAATGTTATGTTTTGCCATCAATCACAAGTAATGTACCCGGTCACGAAATTAATATTTCTAATATTGACATCCCTACTGACATTAGTTTGGCGGATCCTACGTTCTTTGTACCAGCAGATGTTGATATCTTGATTGGTGCCGATCTCTTTTGGGATTTGGTAGGGACGCGGAGAATAATACTAGGTAAGAAAAAGCCTGTATTGTGCGAAACCAGATTAGGGTGGATAATTTCAGGTCCTATCTTTAGTCATCATGACACAATTATGCATTTAAATGATATAAAATGTAATTTTAATAAAATTGATTCTAGTGCAAGTCATGATTTGGACGACATTCGAGCTGACTTAACACGATTCTGGCAGCTGGAAGAGATATGCTCCAAATCAAATTATTTTCCGGAAGAAAGAATGTGTGAGGAACATTTTGTTGCGAACACAACGCGCCTCGATGACGGTCGTTTCTGCGTCCGTATACCGCTTAAACATGATTCTTCTGTTTTAGGTAATTCGTTTCATCGAGCGGAACACTGTTTATTTTCTTTAGAGCGTAGGTTGACGAGCAATCTTGAATTGAGAGATATGTATAGCAACTTCATGACAGAGTATAAATCGCTTGGCCATATGTCAGAATATAAACAGCCTGAGGTAGATGAAAAGGAATATTTCATTCCTCATCACGGTGTTATGCGAGATAGTAGCACGAGCACCAAACTCCGTGTTGTATTTAATGCCAGTTGTCCTACGACCTCAGGTGTTTCTTACAATGATATCCAAATGATTGGTCCCACCGTCCAAGATGATTTGATATCCATATTGCTTCGATTTAGGCAGCATAAGTATGTTTTGTCTGCAGATGTTGAAAAAATGTACAGACAAATAATTGTCCACCCGTCTGATAGACATCTGCAGCAAATACTGCGGCGTAGTAATGTAGCTGAGCCAATTACAAAATTCATATTGAACACGGTCACATATGGAACATCCAGTGCTCCATTTCTGGCTACACGCTGTCTAAAGCAGTTAGGAATCGACTGCAAGGATGATAAAATTTCCGAGATCATTCAACATGATTTTTACGTTGATGATCTATTAACGGGCGGTAACGATTTGGCTGAAGTTCAAGCTATACGTAAGCAAGTTACTAATGTACTTGCTTCTGCATGTATGCCATTAAGAAAATGGAAATCGAATAATCCTCTTTTGATGATTGATCCTCAGGACGTTCAAGCATCATCATTCGATTTGAATATTGGGAGTGATGAGCCAAATAAGTTATTAGGTCTTAGTTGGCACACAGATTCTGATGAACTCTGTTTCCCAATAAGTTCTCTAGTTCCTAATGGTAATACAAAACGTGATATTCTTTCGATGATTGCTCGAATTTTTGACCCATTGGGACTTTTGGCTCCATGCATAATTAATATGAAAATATTGTTACAGCAGCTTTGGATTAAAAAATTAGCTTGGGACGAACCATTAACTGATGATATTAATCGTCATTGGAATTACATTCGTAAAACTTTGCCTCTTTTGAACGATCTTCGTGTACCGAGGTTATTTGCGACTCCTGTAAGTCGTTAGAGTTGCATGTTTTTTCGGACGCTTCAGAGCGTGCATATGGAGCTTGCATTTATTTGCGTAGCGTCAGTACTTCTGGTGAAGTTATGGTTCGATTGTTAATGGCTAAGAGCCGAGTAGCTCCTATTAAGCCTACCACAATACCTAGGTTGGAACTGTGCGGTGCGTTGATGGGAGCGCGGCTATATGATAAGGTCATCACGTCGCTTAGATCGGGAATAGATCAAGCTTACTGCTGGACAGATTCCACCATAGTTT